ATGTTTAACACTGTATATCTTTGTTTACTTATGTTTACCTGTGTTTAACACTGTGAATCACTGTTGACCAATGTTTATCACTGTATATCTTTGTTTACTTATGTTTACCTGTGTTCAACACTGTGAATCACTGTTGACCAATGTTTATCACTGTAAATTTTTGTTTACTTATGTTTACCTGTGTTTAACACTGTAAATCACTGTTGACCAATGTTTATCACTGTATATCTTTGTTTACTTATGTTTACCTGTGTTTAACACTGTAAATCACTGTTGACCCATGTTTACCACTGTATATCTTTGTTTACTTATGTTTACCTGTGTTCAACACTGTAAATCACTGTTGACCCATGTTTACCACTGTATATCATATGTATATACATGTATGTATTTAGCTACCTATGTTTATTAATGTTAGCCACAGTTTCAATGCTTATCAATGAGGTTTACTGTTGTTTACCCATTTGTATGTTTTAATCATCCTTACCATACTTAATAATAGCTCTTTTAACCATTGATGTTTACCATGATGACAGTAAACTCAAGAGTTTGGATACATCATTGGTCTTAACAGTTTAGCTAGATCAGCTAATTGTGTGTGGGTGGTGCAGGTGCCGGTGCTATTGAGCTATGACGTCATTAGTATACGTATAATAAAACTCAGTGTATTTTTTGTTTGTCACAACAAGATGTCAGAAGAGAAGAAAGAGCCCCCACCAGGTAAGAAAGTAATGTATCGTTAGTTGTACTCTCATTGTTGTTAGCTTATACTGCTCCTCCACCAACATTTATAAATTGAAATGAAGCTCAGCTCGACAATAGCATACATTTTAAATCTCGAATATTGCACCTTAGCTCTTTCTTATTTACTATGAACTATGCAGGTCGTAAATTTGCAATTCATGCATTGTTTACACTTATAGATTAGTTTCGCTTTAATTTCAGCGTTTCATGTCATAATTTAAACATAGTCTAATCTGAATTTTATAATCATTATAAAATGCAATAAAAACTGTGTGAGTGGATCAATAATCATTCCATGATACTGGTAGTTTAGAGTACATGCACCAATCATGAGACACTTAAGATTTTTAAATTTTCAAATTTTATCATTGAAATTACAGGCAGTGTCTCATAATACAAACCGTCTCATAATACCAGAATGTACTCTAATATCCACCTCCAGGTCCTGCACCGTTTTCTAATTCTCACCCTCACAAACAAGAAACAAGATGCCAACAGAGAAGAAGAAACTTCTCGAGGAACCTCCACCAGGTAAAAATGAAACTGTTTCATTAATTCTAAATTTCATTTTAGGCTATACTCCTGCTCCACCAGTTTATTACACCCAACCTCAGGTAAAGGCATAGGATTAAAACCTAGTACTCTGAATCCTGACTTACATGATGTAGCAACCAATTCCTGAGGCTTCTTTTCCTAATGATTATTATCTTATACTCTCACTATTCTCAATCCTTTGTTGCTTCTGGCCAGTTGGTGTCATTGCTCTCCTTAAATCTGTTGAGGTGAGATCAATTTTTATTTTCACTGAGCCCGGGCTATATCACATACATGCAGATATGATAATAACACAACAAGCAAACATTACCATGTGTAGTTGTAGGCTTTTCCCTTTAGTGAAAGTCCAATTATGCATTTTGCTAATATGTAAACACTGATGTTGTTGGATTCAATATTGTTCCTTTTCTAGACTCGTCGTTACTGTCAAAATGGCCGTCTAGCTGAAGCCCAAGCATCCTCACGTAAAGCAAAAACCTATAACACAATATTCATTGGGATAGGAGTGACCTACCATATCTTCCTTGCAATAGTAATTTTGGTGACAATTATTGTTGCAGATGCTAAGAGGGGCCTCCCTGGCCTGACTAAGGCACTGCTAACATTGCTACTCTATTTACATTATTTAAGATCTAATAATTTTATGTCATCAGTAATACACTTATAAGGATAGACTAGTTGTTAAAATGTTACTGATTGTTTGTGTTCAAGTATGTTGGCTTTCATTGTTTAGTGTTTTATTGTAAATTAAAATAATGAAATCAGTTGAGGTGTAAACACAAGAGTCAGGCTGGCCCACCTGACTAGGATATACCTATAAAATAGTTTTTGGAAAAATGTGAAATCATCAAAGTGATGTCACATCATTGCATTGTGTTATAAAGCATCAGTGCAGACTGCAGAGCTCACTGAGTTGTACATCAAGCATTTCAGCTCTTTTCTTAAATATAAACAGAGAGGATGAACTATCAAACAAATATGTCAGGATTTCCCTCAACAGGTAAGTTTGATTTATTGTGTGATAGGAGCAGATAGATACTCTCTAAATATTCTTTAATTTTATAATTTATTTTAGTACCATCAGAAGGTACGGCACAGCAGCCTTCTATTTTTTCATTCAACAACCACAGGTACAAACAATAAACTGCTGTCTTCACATAATTTGTTTGTATTATACAGAAGTCTAGCACTCTGACTGGGCCTTCTCCTGATTACCTTGGGCTTTCAATTTGTGCTATATTTTGTTGCTGGATAATTGCAATATTTGCAATAATGAAGTCAATGGAGGTAAAATCACTGAAACTGTTTTTTAATTTACATTTTTTTTCTCAGGCACGTACCTACAATCAAAGTGGTGATTACGATAGAGCTCTACAAGCTTCCTCTCAAGCAAAAAGTTATAGTGTAGCAGCAATAATAGTGGGATTGATACTCAATGGTATTGGAACTGCAATAGCACTCATTCCACCAATACTAATAAGTATAGCTGCAGCAAGTTAACTGCAGAGATAGTATGATGTGCAGATCAATATCATGTTTTCGTATGTGTGTGATAGTTCAACTTTTAGTCGCTGTATATTTTTTCTTAAATAATTTTCGGTTTTGTTAAAAGTAAAACTAAACAGCTCATGCTCATCTCAACTAAACTGTGTGGGTGGGGCTAGCGCTATTGAGCTATGACGTCATTAGTATAATAAAAACTCGGTGTATTTTTGTTAATAATTATTTTGTTTGTCAACAACAAGATGTCAGAGAAGAAAGAACCTCCGCCAGGTAAGATAGTAATGTATCTGTAGTTGTACTCTTCTTGTTAGATTATACTGCTCCTCCACCGCAGCCTCAGCCTGTGCACTATATCCAATCTCAGGTAAATCAATGTTCGGCCCCGACTCTGCAATTATAAAACTTCTTTGATTCATTATTTTATAGCAACCAATTCCCGAGGCTTCTCTTCCTAATGATTATCTTATACTCTCACTGTTCTCAATCATTTGTTGCTTCTGGCCAGTTGGTATCATTGCTCTCCTTAAATCTGTTGAGGTGAGAACACTACATGTCTGTAGGCTGTGGAATGGTCTGAATACTATTTGTGTAACTTCCTTTTTTGATTGAAAGTCCAATTATGCATTTTGCTAATATGTAAACACTGATGTTGTTGGATTCAATATTGTCCCTTTTCTAGACTCGTCGTTACTGTCAAGATGGCCGTCTAGCTGAAGCCCAAGCATCCTCACGTGAAGCAAAGACCTTCAACATGATATCCATTGGGATAGGAATTGCCATCAATGTCTTTGTTTGGTTGTTTGTGATACTAAGCGTTGGGGCATCTATTGCTGCTTCTGCAGCAGGTGCAGCTCAAAGAGATTAAAACATTCCTACTTCTTTTATATTGTTGTGTTAATCCTTAAATCAGTGACTACATACATTCAAACTATAAACAATTTATTGTGTGTGTTTTAAATAGAACTTGCTACACTCATAATGATTATGATAGGCTCTAGTGTCATACAAGGATGTGATGTCTCAGCATTTTGATGAGTCATGTGACAAATAGATAACATGGTATGCTGTGTAGTGTGGGGAGATATAGTGTACATTCTCTCCCAACTAACCACAACTATGCGTTATGAATATTTTTATCACATGACTTATTATATTCAAATACTGAGCCACCACATGTGATGTCTCAGCATTTGAATATCATGTGATAGCTGACACCAGACTATTACTATAAATACTATTATAGTTACTATAGTTCAATTTCCAGCACTAAGAACATGTCAGAGAAGGAAAGTATCTCCTCAGAGAAGGACAAACTCATCACTACAGGTATAGATCTACTATGCATGCTATTATAATTTATGATCTCTTAGAAAAAACTTATGATCCATCAGCTCCTTATGGGTATGCCCAGCCTCCAGTGTATATACCAGTAAGTGCTTTAAATAAACTACTTACCAGTTCTTTGTGTATTACAATAGCCTCAGGATTACTTGTATCTCTCCATCTTCTCAATCATATTCTGCTTCTGGCCAGTGGGACTGATAGCACTCATAAAATCAGTTGAAGTAATTGAACTAAAATAGAGAATATTATGAATGCATAACCTCTTCCATTCTATACACAGGCACGTAAATTTTATCAAGATGGACTAGTGTCTGAAGGACAAGCCTCAGCTGCTGAGTCAAGGAAGTACAATAAGATTGCAATCATTGTTGGAATCATACTTCATGCAATTGGATGGGCACTTATTGTTGGTAGTGTTGTGACTCGAGTTGTTCTGCAGTCATAGCTTCTGGACTCAAGCTATAGAAATTAAAACCTTGCTAATGATTTATATTATAGTCAATGCACATTATTACAGTTTCCTTTGCTAATAAATAAAAATAAAATATCAGGCTAATCTTGGGCGTGTCCACTCCACTGTTAGGAATTTGTTTAGTCATCATTCATCAAAAAAATACAAAACTTGCAGGCAGAAATGGAAAAAGGTTGGTTTGCGTGAGACTTAATGTACTAATGCTTTCTTTGACCAACAGGACAAGACTTTACTACAAAAGAAACCTCTCAAACTGAACCTTTTCCTGAAAAATCTTACCAACCAGTGAGTAAAAGCGAAAATAAACTGGATGAATTCAACAATTTTCATTGTTTATCGTCTACAGGTCCCTGGTACCATTACATCTCCTCCACCAGTCCCACCTCAGGACTATCTCATAAAAGCAATCATTGCATTAATTTGCTGCTTTTGGCCTCTTGGAATATTTGCTGTGTACAAAGCTGTTGAGGTAGACATGCTTTTCACCTTGTACTCTCATTAATGCACATTATCACACATTGTAGGCAAGACGCTTGTATCAAGAAGGACAGTATGACTCTGCTGAAAAGACTTCTAAAGAAGCTGGCTATTTCACAAAGCTAACTTGCATTGTTGGTTGCATAATGCAAGGGATAACATGGGCTATCATTATATTTACTTATGCCGTTGTGGGGATTACCATTGGAGCACTGTTTGCAGCCGGAGTATTTAGTAATGCTACCAAAACTAATTAAACAGATTCCAATCCATTCATTGTATACTTGTAAATTAATTTTTAAATCAAAATAAACATTAAACAATCTTGTGCAATATAATTAATTTTGTAAGGGCGTGGTTCAAAATGGCCGCCATCAGAATGCTAGCTGCAAGGATCATGGTCTCCAGAGGATCATGGCTAAGATGGCAGTCTACAGATATAAGTTATCCCAAGTATACACCGCGTACTGGCGAGGACGAAACCGTAAAAAGGAAAAGACTACTCTATCAAAGCAGGTAAAAAAATTCTTACAAGCTGTTGCTTAACATTGCATAATTAGGAAGAGAGGAATGACAGAAAACGGCATATTGCTAAGGTATAGCTCTACATCTACTGCCATGATTATCAATATATATATTGTAGCACATTCGCAGAGCGATATCTTAACAAATTCACAAGCCAACAGTTGGAAGAATATGACAAGCTAATAAATGAACCAAGTAATGACTGGGACATATATCAGTGGATAACAAAGAAAGAGATACCACCTCTTGAGTATCAAACGCCTACACTGAGCCTGTTGCAGGAACACACTGCCACTCTTAATGCTAACAGTACACACGTACAGACACAACCGCCTTTAAATGAATAATGATATAATAATAATTATTATTGATCTCTGATACCAAATTATTATAACATGTCAAGTCCAATCCCAAATTGAAGTCCTGGTTTGAGCCTATCATGTTTGCGTGTGTGTTTGTGTATAAACAGATAAATTATGAATTATATCATGTGACTCACCGGTCATGTGACTGAGCCCTGAGTGGTATTGCATAGTTAAGCTCAATTTGAGCTATGCCCAGTCTACAGTGCATTCCAAATCCACCAGAAAGGCGTGTCTCTTTTAACAAATTCAGAAAACTTGACAACGAACCTGTTACACATAAATATTCTTTGAATTATTAATAATAATTTTTGTGTTGCTTACATAGCTCGTTGAGATTTCCTGCAGTTAAGAATCCGTGAAACCTTATCCTTCTAAAGAATTCACCGCTTGTAAACGGGAGGGGTAGGAAAAGGTGGAGTCCCGTAGCCCAGTAAGCCTCACCTCCATAGCTGTAACCATGGCGATGTGGCCCCACCCCCCACATTTCAAAACCTCTGAGAGTAGTACTGCCACCAAGGAGGAACCGGTCGTTGATTTTTGAAGGAGAAAATGGTTTTAGAAGTCCGCCCCAAAACGAGAGACCCAGGACCTACAATAGATCAAATAACGTGTAAAATAACCATGCAAAGTTTCCACAGGATTCAGCATAGTGCTCATGCAGTCTTAGATTTTAAAAATTCAACAAAAATACCACAGTCATTCACCAAAAATAACTAGAAGAGAATTCTTCATTTTATAATTTTTCCGATGTATATACATGTTGATACATGTACAATGTACGTTGTGTAGCAAGTGTAATACACCATGTACTTACCCATTCAGGAAATATTTCTTTGAACATTTGTGTCTGAACTTCAGCTTTACTAAAGCAGATATCACCGCCCAAGCCAGCCACTTCATGAGTTAGTTTAGTAAGATATCCCTCACTTGGGAGCAATGGATCATCTCTATTGTCTGTCACTAACACATGCTAAGAAACACAAATACATTTAATTCAACTGATTGCTAGCAGCTAACTTTTAATGAGCTCTTTAAAGAATGCCCTGCATCTTTCCTAATGCTCATGGGCACTCCATTATCAAATCCAAACAATTCTCTCCAGTCACAAAACCAGCCAAACGTATGATGACCTAATCTTGAGAAACACTGCATACCACCTGAAGCACCTGCCTCTCTCAATCTCTTACTTGCATTTGGACTTTCTGCTCATAAATATTTTCTTGATATCCACAAGGAGGTTGCTTGAAGTTAGTAGTACCCAAGCCAGCACAAAACCTATGCAACACAAAGCAATGACTTTACTTAATCTCCTTGTGCTTCACTAACTGTCTAGTAATGTCTTTATAATATGGCTTGGTGAGTTCCAGTTGTATTGTCTGACCCCACTGAGGGAAGGCAGTTGTTGAGACAACTTTTAACTGCTCTGCTCGGCCGAAAATATTCCTCAATGAGAAACTAAGGTTCTACAATGAGAGCAGTAGTACACAATGTACCGTACATGTATGTGTAACACAGCTTTGCTTACAGCATCTCCACTCTGTGTTCCTGCATTAGCTGATATTGATGAGGCTATAAGACCATTCTCCTTCACTCTAAATGTAACTGCAGTTCCATCAATCTTTCCCATTTTATTCCTACAGGCACCAAACTCTAAATTGACTTCCTTGAAAGCGTTGAGTGATTTTAATCTGTCAACTGACTCCAGTGAGTTTGCAACCAGCTATAAATTAAACAAAGTCAAACCACGTCCATTTAAATGTTATACCTCAAGCAGGTTTTCTGATTTTAAGACGTCTTTTACTTGCTCAGTGACTATGTCATTTTTTGTTCTATTTAATCCCAATACTTGTACTTTACAAACCTTTACCTGTATACATACATGTATGTATAATAATTATAATAATTTTTATAAGAGAGAAGGATACACAGAAAAACTTCTAAAATTAATATCTGCATACTTGATCATACCTTTGCATTAGTAATTCTCTGTAATGTGAAAAAAGATGAACTTTAACAAGAAAAATACTTTAATTATCCACATACCATGAAGTTACCTTCCTCCATCTTTGAGGATATACGGACTTTATACGGATACTGATTTGTGAGTTTCCGTAATCTCTTAATTCTCTTTACATCATGGGAAAGTAAGGTTTAGATTGCAACTAAAATTGTCCATTTTCTCTTCATTTGTAGATATTACTGTGACTATTGTGACACTTATTTGACTCATGACTCTGTTAGTAAGAGTATAATATTAAAATTGCATTATTAGAATTATTTATTTTTATGAATAGCCTTCAGTTAGGAAGACACATAATTCTGGTCGCAGGCACAAGGAAAATGTAAGACTATACTACGTCAATTGGTTAGAGAGTCAGGCACAATGTAAGAGCCTTATGAATTAAATTTTCTGGTTTAATAATTGCATTTCTTTATTAGCATTTAGAATGAGTTTGATTCGACCAATGGGTCCGGGATTATTAGCTCCCCCTGGAATGATCCCAGTTCCCCCAGGCATGGCACCACCAGGTAGACACGCATTCACACATTATGGAGCTTGACCACAACATGGCCGCTCATTAATCAAGATATGAGCCGTCATGTTGTGGGATGGGTGTACGGCATACCATATAGCTCCAAATTTTTTTCGGTCTAAATTTTCGTCAAATTTGTCAAGTATTTTTGCTTGACGAAATTTTTGTTTCACGTGGATAGTATGCGGATTAATTACAAAAATGACGATAATTTTTTTGATGAAAATTAATTTTAACAAGAAATTAAGATTTTGACGAAATTTTTGACTGACAAAAATTTGGAGCTATACGGTAGTACAGAGCTGAATGGGCCAAACAAGTTTTCTGCAAAAAAATGCTAACTCAGCATAGCGCTTCATAACTGACAAGATGTGTTATGCATTTGGAACAACTTTTAAATATTCGTAAAAAATCTAATCTTGATTGGAATCGGCTCAAACTTTCTATGAAACTTAAGCACATGTATATGCATCAGGAAAAATTATGAAAGTTGAGGATTCTGTCCTTGACATTTTTGATGAAATTTGGCAAAAGACTGTGTACTATAGTACATGGTTTTTGGCCCGATTTTTGAGCAGTTTTAAGAATCTGTGAAAAATTTAATTTTGATCGGAATTCGCTCAAACTTTCTACACAATATAAGAAAATGTATATGCATCAGGAAAAATGATTAAAATGGAGAATTTTTTTTCTAACATTTTTTGATGAAATTTGGCCAAAGACCGTGTACTACAGTACATGGTCTCTTTTGCTGATATTCATTGGTGAATGTTGGGAAAAGTCTCTAAAAATATTTCATTATTTATTTACATTTATTTATATTCAATAGGGATAATGATGCCTCCGCCTATTGGACTCCCACCTCCTCCTCGTCCTGGCATGGTCCCAGCTATGCCACCACGCCTTCCTGGCCCCCCTCCTCCTGGTTTTCCACAAGTACCTCCCCCGGGGATTCCTCCTACCTCCGTCCCACCATCAATCCCACCTGTTGCTAATGTTACGACTCCACAATAACAACAATAATAATAATAACAACATTATAATAAGTTTGTGATTATAAAAAAATAATGTGAATTGTGCTGATTCAGCAATCATTATCGTTACCATAGCGACCGCAGCACAGAGTGTGTGGGTGGGGCACATAATTACAAGAAAAGGAAACGCAACTGCAACATAAAAGTAGACTAGTCTGAGCTGCAGGAGAGCCAGAAACCATTATGAGTGTCTCTGGAGGCTCTGGGACTTCTTCTTTAGTTAGGCTACCAGCTCTAAGAATAAATAGAAATTCTCCATCTCCAGGGCAATGGACTCTAGTTAGGGAGTACAACATTGAAAAGAAGGATCAGTACAATGTAAGCAAGCCCAGTGTCAAACTGACTGTGATATTTGCTGCTTTAAATTGTAGGAATGGTCATCTAATGTTAGCAGTCAACTTCTAAGATTAAGACAGCAGTTGGTGAGTCCAATTAATATCAATAAGAATAGATCTACACACATATCATCATTATAGATGCTCTAACATACTATAACCTTCATTTAGATATCATACATGACTGCATCAAAGGCATTAGATGAAGAGATTGAAGAAGAGACAATCAAGTTAATGACTCTCAAAGAGCTAGCCATTCCACCTTCACCTCGAGCTCCAACTCCAAAGCAGCTTGACTGCAAAGGAGTATCAGGTTCAACATAACCTGCAAACTATTGTCCACCATCACATCATACACAACTATAATTTTTAATGGAAGTTGTGACATTATACTATAATAATACAGCTCTATAATTCTATATTATGTTGCAATGCATTAAGAATATTATGCTGAAGTCAAGAAACATTAGTGAATATGAGATTACATTAATTAGCACCAAAGTAATTGATAACATAAAAGTATGACAGTGATTTTAATAATTTTGAACATTTCATTAATTAAACTAAACAACAAAAAATAACAAGTTGGTGTGGATCTAATTTAAAAAGGACTCCATGATTCCCATTTCACTTCTTCTGGGGCTTAAAGTGCTGGTAGAAGCTTTTAGTTGCCTCCATCATCACTTCTTGTGTACAAGAGGGTAAATCATCCACATAACGTGCAGGGTTTCCCTTATATACAGTGAACGATGGGACAGTGGTCTCTGGTGGTACTACAGTGTTGTCCTCTATCCGACAGCAATCTTTTAACACCACTGCCCTTGACTATAACAAAAAGAAGGGAGAGGTTTTAAAGTTATTTGATTGAAGGAATAACAGTTTTTGATACGTACAATGACACAGTTCCTTCCAATGTAAACGCTATGACCAATAACAGTTGCATTGATGATTGTATTGTCACCAATTATGGTGTTGTCACCGATTTGCAATGGATAGAATGCTCCACTAGAGAGAAAAGAATCAAATTTGATGCAATTATTAATTACAAAAGTACCACCATACCCTGATAATAATTTCTTATAAGGAGGTGATATAATGACTTTCTTTCCTAGTACACACTGTCGCCCTATGTTAATGTTAGCCAAATCACCTCTAAAGACACACTCTGATTGTGCTATTGTCTGTACGAGAGATAAAACACAATAAACTTTAAAGCCATTACTCACTTTTCCATTAAGAACAATGTTCTGACTACCACACAGGACGCAAGTACGGCTTACCTTGTTACCAGAGGACTAATAAAAAAGAAAGCAATAGAAACAGCTTCTGTTTCCCTTTCTTACCGTCTCTATGTACTCAGAACTATCATAATAGATATCTTGCTGCTCCATTTTTATTTAGCCACGCCTATAGACTAAATGACCACGCCTATCAAATTTACCGCCCAATCACGCGCGGAAAACTTTCGCCCCGCCTTACTTCTAATTAAAGCTCATCTCCCCGTTTCTTCTGCCATAGTGGCAGGCCAGATATTGCTGTTTTTCATATTTCGGTCCTGGGCTGCAGCTGAAGACTAATAAATTGTAGATAGCAGAGAGAGGGGAAGAGGCTGCAGTAGCCATGGACCATTCCACTAAAGACATTCTCCCAGTGGATCCAGAGGTAGAGGCGTGGCTTGTTACAATACATACATGAGGCTCTCCCTTGTCCCCTTTCTCTAGGATGCATCAGAGCTTGATGACTGGCGCCTTCCGCTAAGTTATATGAAGGGACGTCACCTGGAGGATATTGCTGGGCTCCCTCCAATGAAAGAAAACTGGAGGATAAAGGAAAGAGTGAGACACCATTATAATTATGTTTATTTGGAATCATAATAATGTATCTTTGTTGATGTTTCTACCGTGAGAGTATAAAGTAACTAATTGGTGTACTCATTTGTGTTTTGTTTCTAATTAATGCATGTGTCTCTTCTAATTAATGCCCAGCTCAAGACGTGGAGTGTAGCACTTGCTCTTTGTTTGAATATTGGAGTCGACCCGCCCGACGTAGTCAAGACAACACCTTGCGCTAGGAAAGAGTGCTGGATAGGTAATGTAATGTGGGGGTGTGGCCAGCCATAGACACATTTATGATTGTTATAATTTTAATAAATTTACATGTACTTTGGGGGATTAAACTTTTGCGGGTCTGCCCAAAATTTATAGTAATTTGCAGCAATCAGCCATTTTACTGCATTATATAGATTTTTAGTTTTGCAAAATCTCAACAAAATCTGCAAAAATTATGTCTCCTGGAAGCTTCCAGCTGTATGGTTATGGTATTCCCCTTTTTAACTTAGATCCGTTGTCAAGAGGATCTCAGAAGGCGATGGAATTGATTGCTAATAGTTTACAGAAGCAGTATGAGAGATGGCAACCCAGAGCCAGGTATAAGCAGCTATTAGATCCAACCACTGATGAAGTACGGAAACTTTGCATTGCTCTGAGGAAGAATGCCAAAGTAAAAGAGAGAGAGAGAAAGAGAGAGTATTAATTTATTGTCCTTGTGTACTGTATAGAATGAGAGAGTTTTGTTTCATTATAACGGACATGGTGTGCCACGCCCAACAGTTAACGGAGAGATATGGGTCTTTAACAAGGTACATGACCATTAATGTTTAAATAATAATTATATTTAATCTCCTCCTTTCCTTTCTCTCTCTCCTCTAGTCATACACACAGTACATTCCACTGTCAGTGTATGATTTGCAAGTGTGGATGGGCAAACCATCAGTATATGTACTGGATTGTTCATATGCAGGTACATACATGTACATGTACATGTTATTATAATTAATGAATATTTTTCTACTGACAGCTCAAATTGTTGATTCTTTTAAATTATTTATACGAGAAAGGGAAAGCGAATTCTTTTTAGAGGTACACACAATAACTTTAACTCCATTAAGCTACATGTAGTTATTAATAATAAATTTACAATGCTCAGGGATCAATTAATCAATGCTCAGGGATTATTAATTAATAATAAATTAATAATAATATTAATAATAATATTAATAATAAATTTACAATGTGCAGGGATCAATTAATCAATGCTCAGGGATTATTAATTAATAATAATATTAATAATAAATTCACAATGTACAGGGATCAATTAATCAATGCTCAGGGATTATTAATTAATAATAAATTAATAATAATATTAATAATAAATTTACAATGTGCAGGGATCCATTAATCTCTCTACCTCAAATTCAAGTTGTCTCGGATTATTGGACGAGTCCATATTGCTAGCTGCTTGTGGTTCCAAGGAGATACTACCGATGAACCCAAAGCTTCCTGCTGATCTCTTCACTGCCTGTCTTACCACTCCTATAAAGACTGCACTGTTATGGTATGGCAATAGTGTATCCATGTACATGTGTATGTATTGAAAAAAATGTTTAAGTTTTAGTGACAAATTTTCATGTACATGTGCAATGTATTTAGATAATAGCTATGACTTCTCTCTCTATCTCCTTTCCTTCTTTCTTCTTAAGGTTTTGCTTGCAAAGGGTTGGGAAGCTAGTTCATGGAGTGACAGAAGAAATGATTGACAAGTATGGCATATTACATTCAATTTGAATCCACTACACCTTACACATGTAGATGTACTTGTACATGTACATTATGATTATATGTCAGTACATTCATTTCTATTCACACACACACACACACACACGCACATTCACTTACAGCATACCTGGTAAACTGAATGAAAGGAAGACTCCACTGGGAGAGCTCAATTGGATATTCACTGCCATCACTGACACCATTGCATGGAACACACTATCACAAGGTACTCAATGAGTGGATCCTGTTGAGTGGAGGAGTGATTGTGGTAAAGTATGTAATCCTACACTATAATGCCCACATCAAGACTATAGTAATGGTTGTAGTAGTACATTTTTTAGTCTTGGAATTTTTATTTATTTTCAGAATTATTTCAGAAGCTGTTTAGACAGGACCTCCTGGTTGCTAGCCTGTATAGGAATTACTTGCTGGCCGAGAGGATAATGAGGTCTTATAATTGCACGCCCGAGTCCCACCCGTACTTACCCCCAACCTACCAGCACCCGTTGTGGCAGGCGTGGGACCTTGCAGTGGATCATATAATGGCTCAGCTACCTCAGCTCATTGACGGAACTCAAGAATACGAAGTAATTAAAGTGTTTCTATATTGCAATGATTTAAGTTCTGATTCTAAGTCTAACTTTCTAAGCATGAAAAATTTAAAATTCTATACCACAGTAATAACTAAGTAATAGCCATCTTGTAAAATACATGTAATGTACCTAAGTTCTTATTTATATTATCATTATTTTCTCTCTCTATTTCTCTCATAGCCCAGCTCTTTCTTCCCGGAGCAGTTAAATGCTTTCCAAGTTTGGTTACTTAGTTTTCCTAACTTAAGTCAACCCCCAACCCAGCTGCCTATAATATTACAGGTACAGGATAGAGTCCAACTCTCTCCCTCTTTATTTCTCCTCCTTCTCTTTAGTTTCTACTCAGTCAGGCCCACAGATTACAAGCTCTTGAGTTATTAGGAAGATACCTAGATATGGGCCCTGAAGCAGTACATGCAGTAAGCACATGCATATTGTATTATTATTATTTTATTTTTTATCCTAGGCTCTCTCTGTTGGTATATTTCCGTATGTGTTGAAGCTACTGGCTAGTAAACTCCGTGAGCTACAGCCTATCCTAGTGTTCATATGGGCTAAGATACTGTCAGTAGACAATGTAAGGACTCAGTTTATTGTATGATATGGTTTTCTGTTTATGCTTCCTCTTTTTGATGTTATGATTTACTCACTCTCACTTTCATCTCTCTCTCTCTCTCTCCTTTTATAGTGTTGCCAGTCTGATCTTGTTAAAGATGGCGGTTACAAGTATTTCATTTCAGTACTAGCTGATACTACTATACAGTTTGAGTACAGGACAATGGCTGCCTTCATACTATCATCTATATGTAACAATTACAGTAAAGGCCAGGTTAGTGGGTGTGGGGGTTAAGTTATTAATAGTTATGAATGTAATGATAGGAGGTGTGTCTTCAAGGTAATGTGGTCGCAATATGTCTCTCTCAGCTAGAGGAGCCTAATGCTGTCCTCAAGCAGTGGCTAGCGATATGTCTTGGGAGGTTATGGCAAAAATATGACGCAGCCAAATGGTGTGGAGTGAGGGACGCTGCACATGAAAAACTCTCACTGCTTCTCTGGGATGAAGTACCCGAGGTACAACCCCATTACTGGATCATGTGACTCTCAGTTGATCCTTAGGTTAGGGCAGCAGCTGTGTTTGCTTTGGGTACTTATATATTCACTCCATCAACTGACGGGTCACACACTGATCATGCTACTAGTATTGATCACTCTGTGGCAATGCTTCTCCTACCTCTTGTCTCTGATGGATCTCCTCTTGTCAGAATGGTAATGGCCTACTTTCATTTCTTTCTCTCTCTCTCTGTTTTATTAAGGATATAATATAGACTATGTACATGTACAGTGTAGTCTACTATATTCCTGGTTTTATTGAAAGGTCTTTTTTCTAATTCCTTTTATTATTTGAATTTATTCCATGTAATCATGCACTGCATGTACATGTAGTACGTTTTTTGTAGTACATGTACTACTGTACATGTATGTACAGTAGTCCCTCTATTGGGGGCCCCTGGTAAAAGACCCCCTCATTCCAAACTTCATTCTTAAAGTACAAATGTAATACGCATTTATTTTGACCCCTTGTAGGCGAACTCTCCTCAAACGCGACCAGCGACCACTTAATTTTGGGCGAATTAATGACTAGTGGGTGGGGCTAACGTACACGTGTATGGTTACTATGGTTACATTGACGATGTCAAGGAAGAGAAAAGTATTGAATCTGTAGGAGAGAGAGAGTAAAGGTGCTGAAGAAAGAAAATCTTGTTATGTAATTTCAGCTGAGCTAGCCTCAGCTAGGTGCCAGGGAAGCACTGCTATAGTAGCTATGGGTTGCCTTTATGATGTGAGAGGTTTTGCACTGTCTCATCAGAGTCCAGAGCTACTGGAGCCGATCAGTAAAAGTAGGACTACTGTAGAACAACTCCTGTGTGAACTTGAAGCAAACAAAACTTTTAACATTGCATATTGTATTGTGTATTTTGTATTATTTAAGACATCATTAACTAAACTACTGGCCACACTCCTCTCCTTATCACGAACCATCTCTTTTTGCAGACCATTTTTAATGAATAGGAATGGGATACAAAGTAATAATGAAAAACTAGATTTTCTCATTATCTAAAACTTTGATCATAAAAGTACATGTACATGTACTTTTACGGTACCGCTCAGCTATAAGTTTACTTATTGTGTACACGACACGGTGCAGCTTGGCTATGCATTCAAGCTGCACTAGTGAAGGTGCACCTGTATCGTGTACCGGTATTTATCATTTACATCATGTACTTATCTCGTGTTGTGGTGCACTCGTGTAGTTATTGCACCAGTGTGGAACGCAGGTAATGCTGGAGATTACTCGTGTAAACGAAAACTTATAGCTGAGCGGTACTGTATGTTCAAAACAACTTCAAATTAACAATAAGAAGCTAAGTTTTGAATTTTAAACTATTGTATACTGTATGCCTCATTGTTAGATGTTTACACAACACCAAATACAATGTACATGTACACTCTATAAACACATCCTTGATTGTCTCAAGTTTTCCATAATTCCCAAATGACTCCTTATCCCCTAACCCACTACACATACATGTATATACATGTATGTACTGTACAATTGTACATGTATTACATGTAGATCTTATTTCTCCAGGAGCTCATTACAGCACTGCATGGTCTCATCCTACAGTACGAGAGGGAGTTCCAGATAGCTGCTCTCCGTTCCTCTGATTCAGAGCCTTCCCTTGTCCCCTCTAACCTCTCCACCTCCCTCACTCCTGGTGGCTGGATCAACGTCTTCATTGACTCCGCCTCTTCCTCCTCCGAGACTGAAAAGAAAAGTGACCATCTTTCCCCCATGAAGAGGAGCCCTGCTGCCATCAGCAATGGCAGTGTCAACAGTGAGTCTTATAGCAGTGGCGAGGACGACGAGTCTCTCCCACGTCCCGGCCCACGGACGCAGTCTTTTGCTCCGCCCCCTCCGATAGCTCGTTACCACGACAACTCGTCTTCGAGTGGCCTGTATGCTCAGTTGTGGCGAGGGGTCCAGTCTATTTGTGGTGATCCTTGTCCGACTGTTGCTCTTAAGGCTGGCTCCATCATTCAAAGTGTCTTGGATAAAGTAATATAGAAAGTATTATTATTATTATTATTTTATTTTTATTTTATAGATAAGACAGACTTCAAAGGCTCGTGACATTGCCATTTCCTCTCTCTCCACTTCAACCTCAGCTCCTCTCAGCGTAGCCCCTCCCCCTTCCTCTGCTTCTGTTTCTCACGGCAAGTCGCACACCATAGGCCGAAGCTCCAGCAAGTAAGCTATAGACCACCTTACTGCTGGTCATGTGATGTTATTGTGGTATAGGTCTAGAGCAGTTGAACCGTCTTCCAATTCATCGCTACCGGCTTTCTTGCTCACATCAAGAAAAGTGATTAAAATATATTTGATGAAGGAAATTTACTCTTTTCTCTTCTTCTAGGATCCTCAAGCTGATGATGATAATTATCCTCAATTGTCTCCAGGTGGCTCTGGAAGCAGTAGCTCTATTGGCTCATCGGCTAGCGTCTATGAAGAAACCAAGTTCTACGACTGGTCCTGCAAGTATTTTGCAAATTCACTAATGAAGGTTAGTCCATATTATGTCATTATAATATTGTAAAATTGATAATGTTATACATTATTGTTTCTAATACACATGTTTATTATTATTATTTATTTTATTGATTTATTCTATAGCAACCGGAGGACTGTGACAGGTTTAGTGAGAGCTACTTGCAGAGGGAGTTTCGGTTCTTGCGTAATCACACAGTGAGAGAGGAGGGGTCACAGTTGATTGATTCCTATGATAAAGCAAAGTTCAACGATCACATATTTGTTAACAAGGAGAGCAAGACACCCCAAGAGCTCAAGTTTCATCCTTACATACCTCAACTGGTTGTACTTCACAAGTCATCATGGAGGTTAGTTAAATGGCTAGGAGAGAATTTTTTATTTTTCTGATACATGTACATGTCTTTATGTTGCATACCGTATGGCTAGAAAATTCCGTGGGGTATTTAATTTCGCGGATTTCGTGGGTAACTTCTTAACCACGAAAATTAATACCATGGAAATGCTCACTGCGCATGTGCAGCTTGTGAAAATCAATGACTTAATGCAAGTCCACGTGCAAAAACGCGAAATTTAACTCCCTCGAAATTAAAGAATTAAGAGCTTTTCCCTAAAACACGAAAATTTATGCCCTCGAAATTTTCTAGCCATACAGTATGTACATGTAGTTTACTGATTCTGATCCAATATTGGCTTGTTTTTTAAATGCTCATAACTCGAAAAATATTTGTCAGAATCAGCTCAAACTTTCTACATAGCATAAGGACATCAATGTGTATCAGAAAATGTAATAAAAGTTTGGGGTGATTTTGGAGCCATTTTTTGGAAAAAACCATGTGCTATAGCCTTGGGTATTTTTCAAAATTTGGCTCGTTTTTAAAAAATGCTTATAACTCGAAAAATATTTGTCAGAATTAGCTCAAACTTTTTACATAGCATAAGGACATCAGTATGTATTAGAAAATGTAATAAAAATTTGGGGTGATTTCGGAGCCATTTTTCAGAAAAAACCATGGGCTATAGCCTTGGGTATTTTTCAAAAATTTGCTTGTTTTTTAAAATGCTCATAACTCGAGAAATATTTGTCAGAAACAGCCCAAACTTTCTACATAGCATAAGGACATCAATATGTATCAGAAAATGTGATAAAAATTTAGGGTGATTTTGGAGCCATTTTTTGGAAAAAACCATGGACTATATGGGTATTTTTCAGGATTTTGGTGTTTTCTTAAAATGGCCGTAACTTGAAAAATTGAAGTCGGGATTAGCTCAAACTTGCTACACAACATAAGGACATCAATATGTATCAGAAAATGTAATAAAAATTTGGGGTGATTTCGGAGCCATTTTTTGGAAAAAACCATGGGCTATAGCCTTGGGTATTTTTCAAAAATTGGCTAGTTTTAAAAAATGCTCATAACTCAAAAAATATTTGTCAGAAACAGCCCAAACTTTCTACATAGCATAAGGACATCAATATGTATCAGAAAATGTGATAAAAAATTTAGGGTGATTTCGGAGCCATTTTTTGGAAAAAACCATGGGCTATAGCCTTGGGTATTTTTCAGGATTTTAGTGTTTTCTTAAAATGGCCGTAACTTGAAAAATTGAAGTCGGAATCACCTCAAACTTGCTACACAACATAAGGACATCAATATGTATCAGAAAATGTGATAAAAATTTGGGGTGATTTCGGAGCCATTTTTTGGAAAAAACCATGGGCTATTATAGCCTTGGGTATTTTTCAAAAATTTGCTCATTTTAAAAAATTCTCTTAACTCAAAAATATTTGTCAGAATCAGCTCAAACTTTCTACATACTATAAGGACATCAATATGTATCAGAAATTGTAAAATTGGGGGTGTTTTTGCAAAGGTACATACAAAGAGAAAAGGTTGCATACTCTGTATCACTGCCAACTTATGCTTCTTAAAACCCGCCATTTTATAATTACAATATTTAATGGGTATAACTATTGAATTTTTTATTGATGTCTAGTCTAAATTCACTTTTTTAATAATTGTATTTTAGTCTGTGGGATATAGAACGAGGTACTCACCTCTGCACTCATTCCAATCACACTGGAACCAGTAAGGCCACTGCTGTGGAGTTCATTAATCCTCACGACGTCTCATTTTTACTCACAGGGACAGGTGGGTCGGTTTTTGGGTGTGGCCGGTTGCTATTGACTTTGTACTTGTTGTTAATTAGATGACGGGTGCATCAGAGTCTGGAGGAACTACCTAGAAGAGGATGAAGGAAGTCCTAAACTAGTTACCAGCTGGAGGGCATTGAGTGACATGCAGCAAAGCTCTAGAAGTAAGCTTAGTATATTATTAGTATATTATTAGGCATATTATATTAATATATTATTAGGCATATTATTAGTAATTTGTATAGTATATCATTCTTGTTTATTTGTATATTATTAGTATATCCTTGTTATATTATTGGTATACTATTATTCTCATCCCTATAGATGTTGGTATGGTAATGGAGTGGGAGCAGCCCACAGGTCTCCTCTATGCTACAGGTGATGTCAAGTACATCAGAGTATGGGACACTCACAAGGAGCTCAAGATCAGTGACATACCAACAGGAGCCGAGAGCTGTGTCTCCAGCCTTGCACTGGACCACTGTGACAAGTCACTGATGGTCGCTGGGTGTGGGGACGGAACCATTAGACTCTATGACAGGAGACACCCTTCATCAAGCAGGTAGGGGAGTGCCCCCCTTTGGAGATACCACCTTACCTTTAATAAGACCATGCACTTTTAAATAGACATCAAGTTCTCTATTTTGCATTATATTGTCCCCTGGTAAAAACCACCCTTCTTGTAAGACCACCACTTCCAAGAATCAAAGGGTGGTCTTTCAAAAGAGGACTAGTGTATGGTTAATAATTGTAGTGTCACTTTTTACAGTTATGGTTTTACTTTCTATAGTTTGGTTCAAGTGTTAAAGGAGCACTCCAGTTGGATACTCAAAGTACATATCCAGCAACCTGTCAATAACATTGTCTCTATGGGGTGAGCCATACACACATGTACATGTACATGTAATTATTGCCCATTCTAATTAATGCCATGTGTTACATGTATTTTAATGTCCCTTGTAGTGCTCAGGGAGATGTTCGTGTCTGGGATCCAAGGTTCACTAGATCTACACACAATTTCAATGCAATGTCTGGTTCTAATGTATGCACTATACATCATTCAGTACCTCTCCTGGCATGGTACGTATATTATATGCATGTACATTGTAGATATATGTGAATATGAAATGGTGTAAACTTTTCCCTCTCTCTCCCTCCCTCTCTCTCTCTC